GGAGGGACAGGCGGCCGGACCCCTTGGTTGCCTGGTGACACTAGGCGGGTACCGGCCCCTCCCTGTCCAAAGCCACCATCCCTGCGGGTCCCTCTGCCTGGCACCTCGGTACCCCTGTCCCCGTCTCCTGCCCAGACCCTGACCTCGGGGTCCCGGGCCCTGCCCCGGGGAGGGAGCGGGGTGCTTACTCGAGGAAGCGGGTGATGTACTCGCGGCTGCACTGGGACCAGTTGAGGGGCAGGGAGTGGTAGAACAGCTGCGGGGACATGATGAAGGGCTGTTTGCCCTGCGTGTCACACTCGTTGCCGACCCCGTCGTGCACGATGCCCAAGCTGCAGAGAGCACAGCCCGGGGCAGGGTGAGCGGGTGGAAGGCGCTGGCCACCCCCTCCCTCCCTTTCTCCCCTGAGGCCTGCAGGGGGCCCGATCCTGGTCCCAGGGCTGGCTCAGGTCCCCCCGCAAGGGCTGTGTGGCCTCAGGGAAGTCACTGCCCCTCTCTGAGCATCAACCTAGGAACCAGGAGGTCAGGGTTCGATTCCCGGTCAGGGCACACACCCAGATTGCCCGCTCCATCCCCAGTGGGGGGCGTGCAGGAGGCGGCCGATCCATGATTCTCTCTCATCGTTGACTAGAGGCCCGGTGCACGAATTCGTGCACATTGAAAGGAAATTAATTAGAAGAAATATTTTAGAGGCCGGGGAGGGACCCCAGGAGGTTGGCTTTAGGGTGTGTCCAGCCCGTCTCGCCCAGTCCTGATCGGCCCGACCCCAGCAGCAAGCTAACCTACCAGTCGGAGCGTCTGCCCCCTGGTGGTCAGTGTGTGTCATAGCAACTGGTCGAGCGGTTGTGATTGGACACTTAGCATATTAGGCTAATATATATATTTCTAGCTCTCTCTCTCCCTCCCCTTATCGGGCAGTTGTGGTTGAACACTTAGCATATTAGGCATATATTATATATTTCTAGCTCTCTCTCTCCCTCCCCTTCCTCTCTGAAATCAATAAAAATATATAAGAATAAAAGAGTAATATGCTAATTAGACCGGATGTCCTTCTGGATGTCCTTCCAGACGACCTTCCAGACGAAGCCGGGGCTGCAAGGGAGGCCCAGGTCCCGGGTGCCAGAGGGAAGCCGGTGCCGGCAGCCGGGGGAAGGAGGGCCTATTCTTGCACAAATTTCGTGCACCGGGCCTCTAGTTTCAAAATAAAAAATTAAAATAAAATGCTGCCACAGGGCCCAGCTAAACAGCCCGGCATAGGTGGGGAGGGCTGAGGGGGGGCAGCTGAGGGCACAGGCCGCCGATAGACACAGGCCCCACGTGGACATCACGTGTCTCCATCCCCCGGGAGCACGCAGTGGCTCCAAACAGGGTACCTGCCCAGGGCCGCGGAGCAATCAGCAACCAGGGTTTACTTGCTGGAGACACTGAAGAGTCAAAAATGCAAGTCCTGCCCTGGCCAGTGTGGCTCAGTGGATAGAGCGTCGGCCTGCGGACTGAAGGGTCCCGGGTTCGATTCCGGTCAAGGGCATGGACCTGGGTTGCGGGCACATCCCCAGTGGGGGGCGTGCAGGAGGCAGCTGATCGATGTTCCTCTCTCATCGATGTTTCTGACTCTCTATCTCTCTCCCTTCCTCTCTGTAAAAAATCAATAAAATATATATTTTTTAAAAATGCAAGTCCTGAGGCATTGCCCCCTGGGGACGTCCGGCCTGTTCCCAACCCCTCAAACCAGCCCTGCTCCAAGCCAGGGGGCCGAGGTCCCCCGGGGGCGTCTCTCCTGTTTCCCAGGGAAGCGATCTGGCTGTGGACGTGGACGGGGACACGCGGGGACCCTCCCTGGGATGCGGAGGCCCGTGGGCCGGGATCCCCGGGGTCCCCCAGGTGGGGGCTGCGGGGTACCTGTGCCCAAGCTCGTGGGCCACGGTGAAGGCCATGGGCAGGCCGGAGTCCTCGCTGATGCTGCAGCTCAGGTGGGGCTGGCATATGCCCCCGACGTGGGCCAGGCCCAGGGTCTCACAGGGCTGGTCCTTGTTGGTACAGAGGTCCTTCCTGCACAGACAGAGGCGGGACGTGTCCTGCAGGCTGGCCTGGCCCCATGCGGGGCACCCCATCACCCCTGAGCCGGGCAGGGACCCCAGAGAAGGAGCTAGGAGTATGCCCACCCGGCTGGCGTGGCTCAGGGGCTGAGCGCCGACCTAGGAACCAGGAGGTCAGGGTTCGATTCCCGGTCGGGGCACAGGCCTGGGTTGCGGGCTCGGTCCCCAGTAGGGGGCGTGCAGGAGGCCTCTGGGTAATTTTTAAGATTAAAGCTTTAACCGTCCTTGAGCCCAAATGACTACAATTTGCTATTACAGAGCATCAGTCTGACCCA